GATAAGGCTGATTACACTTAGAAGCTGCCAAATTTTACCTAGCACATGAGCTAGAAAAAATTCTGACGTTCGCATTCACCATGAAACTATCAAATTTGTAAACTAGGAGTTTTAAAAGATTTTTTTTTGCGGTTATGTCCGGTAAAAATACTTGAAAAGGAGTCACGGCAACCCCGGATTTTTTTTTCATATACCTCCTTCCACTGCGGCAAATTCCATTTGGAATAGTAACGGAACTAGTCCAAATGACGCTGACGCAGTGCCCGTTATTCTTCCAAATATTCCTCCTTGCACTGCGGCAAATTCCATTTGGAAGAGTAACGGAACTAGTCCAAATGACGCTGACGCAGTGCCCGTGCAATGCAAGAGTATAAAACACCTGCTGGCAACCCCGAAGCGGCCATTTGCGATATCGTTTTTGACAAGTGAAGTGGAACGGGTAAGGAAAAAGCACAAGTGAAGCAAATAAAAATACGGAGAAACATCGTGTGCGCGTAACAAAAGAAAAAAAAAATAAAATTAAAACCTTTTAATAAAGGAAAAAGGGTATTACAACAATTTTGATCGAATTCCGGCGCGAGTGAGTGCAGTATCTCGCAGTTAAAGCAACGGCAGCATAGTTGCTCCGGAGATCCAGGCTGGAATCCGTGGTGCAGCGTATATCAACCAACATTGTTCATCACATTGTTTCAGGTAAGTCAGTGTGCGCTAGTGCGTTGAGCTATAGGGAATTTACATGATTCAAGTTCGACAGGCGATTAGTTGAATCAAAAGTTGAACGAAAGTAGGCAGCGACCAACTTCATTGAAAGCAATTAGTTAAAGGGCGTTACGCCAGGTGATTGTCGCTTCCAACTAAAAATCGCCAGAAAATTCGTCCCATGTAAATTCCCTATCCAGGCGTAAACGTGCGACCGGTGGTCCACCTGACGGGGGGTTGCTGTGGTTTGCAACGTTCGGAGTATGGATTTTTGAGTAAAAATCCAGAACCTTCTTGAAATTTTTTTTTGCAAATGATGCAACTCGGCGCCAAGTCTATCTTCCTACTATCTTTCACCCACAGCGACCGGACAAAGAGCGGCTTGAGTATAGCTTTCAGACGGTCCTGACGTGTTTTCTTTCGCTCTGTGCTTTATGGTTAATATTATATATCGCTCGCAATAATGAGTTTGTGTACTAATTGGGCGGCCAATTGTAGGCTTAAAGATACAATTCTAAACGCGATTTCGGACTTGGACAGATTAAAAAGCACTTTTATAGCATTAATTGAGTCAGTAAATGATAATACTAACTTGCCGGCTCCTGGTATAATTGAAAACAAACGTATTACTCGTTCAAAACATAAAGCTAGTGAAGGTGTTGTTGCTCAACCATCTAAAATGCAAAAGCACACTCAAATGTCCTCATCTAAATCTAATGATGCTGTTGTTACTGCTAATAGCCTAACAGCTGGGAATGCGCCTGATAATAATACCGGTTTAATAACTACTCCTGGTGGTAATACTCGTATTTCTGCTTTTTTGTCTTCTTCTTCGGAGACATCGTCTGCTGTGAATGCTGCCAGTGAAGGTGTTATTGCTCAGCCAGTTCTAATGCGAACGCACTCTCACATGCACGCTTCATCTGTGCCGCATAATGATGCTGTTGGTACTGCTAACAATCTAGTAGTTGATAAGATAACAAAAACGAATTGTGTTTCTGATGCACCTAGTAGTTAGTAGTGGTAGTAATACCGGTTTGTCTGCTGTTGCTTCTTCTGTTCTTTCGCCCGCCACTCCTGTTGGCACGTTGCCGGCTGCATTTGCCAACTCATGCTTTTTGCCTGCGCCGCCTGCGTGCGCTCCTGATGCTGCTTCGTCATATGCCGCTGCTGTGGCTAATAATGTTACGTCAAATGATACAATAGCGAATAATGCTGCTAACAATGCACATCCAAATAATGCACAGTGGTCTGTTATGCCTAAAAATCTCATTCATAAAAAAAGGCTTTGTGTATTTGGAACTAACGATAACTCTGAGCTGGGAGTTGTTCTTCGTCACAAATGGATTCATATTTCTTCGTTTTTGCCCTCCGTTAATACGGAGAACATCATTGAATATGTCGCCAAACATGCGGCTATCAATAGGAATGAGATTTTTTGCTATAAGCTTCTTAAGAAAAATACTAATTCGGAGGATATTAAATACATAAATTTCAAGCTTGAAGTTCCAGAACGTCAATATAATAAAATGCTGACATCAAATATTTGGCCTTCAAATGTTTCTATCTGACCATTTGATTTTTTTCAAAAAGGTCGTCAGCCTCAGCTCAAGAAGTAAAAAACCCTTCTGCTTCTGGTGCCCGCAAAACAAGCCTTTATTATCAAAATACTTCGGGACTCAGAACCAAATCTGAATCCGTTTACGTTTTGAGTTCGCAACTGGATTACGACTGTTTCGTCCTAACCGAGACTTGGCTAAATGTTAACTTTTTTGATGCGGAGTTCTTCAACACAGCTCTCTTTGACGTTTTTCGCAAGGATAGAGATTTTGCTAAAACTGTTGTTAGTAGGGGTGGTGGTGTGCTTATTGCTACACGCAGCTATCTTCGTGCTTCTTTTTATGAGCTGCCGGGTT